AAGACATGTTCTACAATTCTCTGCAAAGAAGCTGGAAATCACACACAGCTTCTTCTCTACTCAGTGTGTTCAAAATGTAAGGGATCTGAAGTTCTTTGCTTCTCTCTTCATCCACCCCAAAAGCTTACCAAACACCAAACATTTCTGCCTATGCAGCTCCTGCCCCAGGTTAGCACGTGTCTAAGTGACTATCGGATAAATGTCACCTGTACAACTTCTTTCCAATTGGCACAGGAACCCAAAAAGAGGACCTGACTTAATGCTTTTAGACATCAAAAACTTACTGCATTATCTTGAGCAAGTCACTGCCAGAACTCCAGCAGAATCTCCCTTCCATGAGGCTTCTCAGGGAAAGCGTTATGTGACCAGTGTTTAGCATTATTGCTGATCCACTTAACAGACATCACCTAGTGATGTCACAAATCTCTTTTTTTTTTTTTTTTAACAAGGAAAGCAGGAAGTCAGTTCTGGCCCTTTAAAAGGCATTCCTACATTTCAAAAAAAGCAGAGGGTTTGGTGGTGTTTGTTTCTTTCTGTTTGTGGAGTTTGTATATTTGTTTTAATAAAATGTATTTTTCTTACAAAAACCTAAAGAAACCTTTTTCTTAATCTTGTTTAGACACACAGGACAGTGACCTATTCTCCCGCTACAGCTGTACAGCATCTTCTCAAAAAGCAGACCTTCCTCTCGGCTTCAAGTGCTACCCAAACTTGAGGAGAAAGGTATCATTAACCACCTCTTTGTTAACCCACCTGTTCACATAATTTACATCACATCAACTCCCTGTTACAAGTTCATATAACAAAGGCTCTGTTAAGTGTGTACATGAACACGGTTGCTACCTTTTCACCTCACATTTGAAACCAGAAGTGAAAATAACTAACAAACATAAGAACATCCCCATTCAAGAAGCAATGTTTCAAAACAATGTAACATTAACATAACACAGATCCCTATCAAGTCAGGTGTAGTTTCCTAAACTACTTGTTAAACCACATCCAGAATGCAAAGCCAAAGCAATTCTGTTGTTTTTATTAAAAAAGCAACTTCATATAATAAAATGGACTTCTTACGTTACAGGATGGTTTTCATAGTAAGTACTGCTTGCATTCTCTTGCGCAGGTTCAGGTGATGGTTGTCTTTCCTCCTGCTCCTCCTCCACCTCTTCCTCGGACTCTGACACAAAGAGAGAAACTTCCTTAAACGCCTCTGCAAGCGTACGCAAGCCGCACTTAAAATAAAAGCATATTGAACTAGCAGAAATCAAAATTAAGCTTCATCAACAAAATAAGGCAAAATTAGCTGCAATAAAACACAGAAGACCCTTCCAACCATTCAAGAGGCTTTGTTTCTTACTATTTTCATAAAAAGGACAAACTAGATACTTATGGCTGCTAGGAAGTTTCTGGGAGGAAGGTTCGAGGGTCTTTGAAAGCAGCAGGTGCTTCTCGCATAGTGGCAGTAAAAGAGAAAGACTTGACTATTAGCTCATAAATCTCAGTATCTAAACCTAAGAAGATCAACCTCAAATACAAGGACGATTGACTAAGATGCTTCGTGCCACAGAACCAAGATGAAAAAAAATTCTGGAAATTATCCAGTGAGCACATGTATATATGTCCTGCCTGTACTGATTTGCTTTGCCTCAGTGAAGAGAGGCGAAAAAACCCACTCAGGTCAAGATCAGGCCCTGAACAGAAATGAATTACTGAATGCTATGATGATATCAATGTGCTCTACGTGTCATATTTGAAAAGACAGTTAGATTTTTAATTCAAATCACTTTACCGACAAATTCGACTGATCAGCAAAATTAAGTCTAGTTGATGAAACTAACGGCAGCAAAAGTACTACTACTCATTATTGCCATTCTCTGCCAAGCCTCACCCACCCTGAGCCAATTCAGCCCTTCAAGGGATAAGGTACTACTATACAAGCTTCATTTTCCAGAATATTCCGGACCAGCAGACAGTTCCAGCAACGTAACCTACACTCCCCTCCTCAGCCCCCTCCCTTTCCACCTCCTCTAGGCACTTCTGAAAGCTCTGCGGAACTTTCTAGAGGCTAGAGGAACAAGAACGGGACAAACTCTACACGTTCTATGGTTCTTCTCACCTTCGTCAAGTTCTCCTTCCGAATCCCCAAATACTTCATCCTCATATCTGAAGATATCGTTATGGACATAGAATTTGTTCGGAACAGAACCCTGCAAAAGAGCAACATGCATTGTTTTGCATGTACGGTATACAAGGATGGATTAGCGATACAAGCTTTGGGGTACACACCAACATTCTGCAACAGAACTATTGAACTAAAGCCATTTCTCCAAGTGGTACCTCTTCTCTAAGCAAACAACTGATCGGTAACTTCCACCCAACTGAAAAAGGAAGGTTCAAGCAGGAAAAAAACCACAATTTTGCTAAGTCATGACAATCGTAGGTTCTACCTAAATATAAAGTCCCTCGGTTTCATCAAGGAATTTGAACTTTCCCTATTACAAAAAATTTACAATAAAAAAAACCAGAATGGAGTTTCATGGGGTGACTGAGTGCTTATAGCATTGCATCAGGAAACAACGAAGAAATTCAACAAGACTAAAACATTAGTCACCAACCACACAACAGTGTGTGGAAGCGGGGGCAAAGAAGTAGAAGGAATATCAGACACTCTTTACCCTGACACAGCTCTGCTCTCACTAAGAGCTAAATTTGAGCAGTAACTTGTGCAGCATCAACCCACACTCACATCTGTCAGCAGACTTGAAGAAAGTACAGAAAGACACTAGAGACTCGATCTGCAGAGCTGAACATTTTTTTTTATTTATTTACTGGTGCCAATGGCAGCTCCCAAATGCAAGCTTCAATTTGCTTTGTGTTACTGCCCCAAGACTTCAAGTCTAAGAAAATGAGACAGCTCAGGAGGGTTCCAATACCCTCGTTTCTTTGCACTCACATAGTGTGACACATTAATGAGAGCCTCCGGGCCAAGCTCTAAAAGCCAGATCATATTTTTTTTTGCCCCAATATGACAAATTGTAGCTATAGGTGAGGTTTCCATCACCATTACTTGAAGTTAAACACAACCTTACACATACGTACTTCTGGAGCAAGCACAAAAGTCTGCATGAACTTCCTCATCGGCTGCCCGTTGTTCGACAGCTCTCCCATTACTTGCACAACCACCCCATCGCTCAGAGTAGCATGAGCATCCACGTGACGAATCTTGGTGTGGCATTCACTGAACTGTAATGACATCACTTTCTTGTGTATCTCCTAGAAAGAGAGAGTTATGTTTCAGCTACACTGAGTTTTGCACAGAGCTTTACACCTTTTAAGTACCCAAGTCTGAACTAACACAAAGCAGCCCCCCACTGAAACTCAAAAGGCAAATACAGGAACCAAGAAGTGTCTTTCATGGAGAACAGTCTACCTAAGCTCATCTAACTTTTAGTCTGAAGTTTTCCACCAGGATTCAAGTACTTCTCAGAGTAGTCAAATAGCGTACAACTTACTGTCCAATTTTCCAGCTGTATTACAACATACTACCTACTTTAAGGCTTTCATTTTTTAAAGAGCCTGTGACAGGGACAGCATTTACCTTGTTTTAAGAAAAAACCCCACAACCCACGACCCTACAAACAAAAAACCCCAACCCTTTACACATCCACAAAGTACCCAAATGTCACATCTGCACTGCCAAGATTTTTCTGCTGGTGAAAGGAGAAGAAACCAAATCAGGTTCTGCTGGTGAAAAGAGAAGAAACCAAACCTGCACTGGGCTAAAAGCCACCTTGCTCAAAGCTGTGGCTACCACACCAACAGATGCCCCTAGGTGAGAGACATAATTCTGACAAAGAGCTATCAGCAAAGTGAAAACTTGTGTTTCCTAGACTTACTTCACTTCTTCAATAGTTATCTTCCACTTTCAGAAAACTCCACTCACAGAAGAATTTGGTAACATACATAATTCCACATAACTGGCAAAGATCAAAGTCCCCTTCCCAGGGAACCAGTTATAACTGAAATAAGATACATCAACAGCACAAGTCTAACAGGTCTTCTTCTTTTGTTTCCCATCCTAAATGTATTTTCTGCATCCAGATGCACAACCCACAGTAAAAGCAGCAACAAGCAAACAAAAAAATTCAAGCCAACAAATTCCCATCTGCCACTGAACAGGAGGCAGTATCACAATACGTTATTTACCAGACAAGAAAGTCCAAGTAATTGGTAAAAAAAGAGACTGATTTATGTAAGTAAGTTCTGAACATTAATGAGGACTACAGGACTGATTTTGATACGCACAGCTTGACCATACACTGCTTCTTGTGGTTTCCCACTGGCATCCAGTCCTCCATGGACGTAAGAAGAATTCCTGCCATAGAACCTGCAAGTGAAGAGATGGAGAGGTCATCGCAGTGAAAAACCAGAACCAAATCCAACAAGTATTTTAGCAGAAAGTTGTAGAGCACAACGTGTCAGGAATTTCAGCACAAACAGAAATTTAAGATATATTTTCCACTTCCAAGGCTCCAAGACGACAGGAACAAAGAAGCTTAATATTCAGTATTCCAGTTTGCCCAAGATGTGTAGCAACCTCCTAAATCAGCCTCCACCTTTCACTCGCTTCCCTTAAGCAAAGTGGCCATTTCAGCTTGAAGTTTCCCCAACGTTGAAATCATCTGCCTCCATTAAAGCTGCACTGCCCGGCCAAGGCGTGAGCCTGGGGAGGAACAACGTGCCTGCCCCTCCTCTGAACCCCCATTCTCTGCAAAGCTTCGGGCAGCAGGGAGGGATTCCGACAACAAGCCTGACCAGCCAACCCACCTCCCCATCTACCCTGTCTCTCTGCTTTATGCAGCTGCTATTTCACACCTTGGCTTTCTCAGAAGCAATGGCCAAAGAGCTCATTAGAAACCTCCCAAGCACTAGAAAAGACCAGACTCCTCTTAGGCACCACAGAAGAAATGCTGTCTGAAAACAGGTGTAAAAAAACAGCAAATGAAAGAAGGTCAAACAAAACTGCATCTTACTGCTGCCACACCAAGGGATAACTTCAGTGCTAGATGTAGCCCAAAAGCAGCATTCTCTCTATGCTTCTTACAGTTAGGCAGTGAGCAGTATTTCTTGAGCGCTAATTGCATCATCATGTACAATAACTGAATCACCACGTACAGCAGCCTCCACCCTATAACTTTTGACACAAAACTAATATTCCGTATTTATGCTACCCAACAAGCAGCAGTTGTGGTTTTGGTCTTGTCAATAGCACAAAGCCCTGGACCACTCCAACAAAAACAAACCCTAAGACCTCTTCCTGACCCAGGTTCTGGATTGGATTTCAAGAGCTCGTATTTTTCATATGTAATATATGTACACTTGTTGCCAATATTTTTCTTACATTTCAGAGATCTTTTTGCACTTTCATCTCACTTCCCAATTTTGAGCCTAGAATAATCTAAGTTTTGTTTTGGATTTTTACTTAGAGCTTATAAAGACATTCCACACAAGCAGCTCAAGAACCAGCTATGAGTCACCCATACCAGATCAAAATCTCTAGGACACTTCTGTGCAGGGGCATTTAAGAGAAAGTTCACAGATGCTACTGTTAGCGACACTTGTACCACCTTTCAGGGGACAGAGAATATTCATGAGCACAGAGTATTGCCTCCACCAGGGGAGTGTACAATGTACGCTCAACGTTTGACACGTACAGCATAATTTGGAAAGCCGTGTTTTAGAACTGTTCAAGTAATGCTTGAGATTTAGAGGGGTGGGAGTAATATCTAGTAGCTCCTATAAAGCGCTGAAATTGTCTTCAACAGGCTACGCGTCTCCACAAACCCCATTTTTCGTCACATGTACACTTTTGCCAATTTCCTGCCACCCCAGTCTGCAAACATCAGTCTACATCCCACATGTACCAGGAACACCCGCTCTGTAACGCTCTCGTAGCACGTGTTAACACTGACGCAACAGCAGTAACGTTGCCATACTAAGGGAAAGCAGGAGGGACGGCAAACATGGAACAGCTGGCTGCTCTGCTTTGACTGAAGCTGTTAGGGAGGAGAAACATACTGACGGTATTCTCCTTCTCAAATCAAAACACACACCCCCACCCGCCAAATCCTGCCAAGGTTACAGTCACTATCATTTCAGGTGAGCGCTCTTATGAGCAAAATCAAAGAGTATTTTCAACATCAAGTTTGAGGCGTGGGTGATCTACCCCAACATACAGTTTAACTGCCACTGGAAATAAATGTGACAAAAGGAAAAAGCAACCACACTGTAGAACCGATACCAATTCTCCCTCTGCCTTTGGTATTAAGCTGTGAAGCATGGCCTAATCATCCCTCGTAACGTCTTCTCTGCCTCTTTGTTTACGCAAACCATTTCTGGGTTTCAGAGTAAAATGACAGTACATGTCACAAGGAAGTGGTCTTACCAACCTGGGCTTTTTTATCATTCAAATATGACCCTGCTGTTCCGATATCAGGGTTTCCACTGCATCATTGCAACGTAATTACTGCCTTAAAAACTGGTACAGTTGCACCCTTTCTAAGACTCTTAAAAGAATTTCAACTGCCTAACCTTCACAAGCAACGGATAGTTATGGATACCGACTGGTGACAGACCTGCCTGAGAGGTCCAAGGCAAGATGTCCTTTCCCAGGCCCCCCAAGGAAAATGCCCAGGCATGATATGTACGTAAGGCACACAGTTCTTGGGCCAGAGAGAGCTGTCAGTGTCAGGTACTGATGTGTTACACGGACACACTTGTCCAGTTTTTGATCTGATCTGACTCATTTGTTGAAATTCTGAGGTCGAGGAAAAACTCTGCAGTTGCTAAAAATCCTGCTTTTAACTTCCGTTAGATTACTAAACATAGATTAGAAAAGCTTGGAATACACTGCTCAGACACCTTAAAAATAGATTTAAACACAGAAAACAATGTGGTTCCACAGCAGTTCAGTGATTTAAGTAAAAAGGATACCATTCGTTTTCCCCACCTCAAAGCTATAGATGAAAAGAGGGATTATTCAAAAGACTGAATTCTTAAGTAAGCCATCTGAGAGCTCTAATTTGTGCTGAATCAAAGTCCAATTTCTCACCATCAGCTTTCTGTCAAGTTCTGAGACAAGCCCAACCTCAGCAGCAACTGCTTTTTTTTCTTTCTATACACTGGCAAAGCTACTTTCACTTATTACAAGTCCATGCTGCTCTAAGTCCAAATGTGGAAATGCAAAATCTTAAGTGACAAGCTGCACATAGCCAGTCAAAACAGGAAAAAGAAGGAAGAAAAAAAAAAAGGGGGAGGAAAAAAGAAGAAACAAACACATTCAGAGTACCACTTAAATAGTGGACACAGGTAAAAAATGCCTACTGTATTTTCCACCTACCTTGTGCAGGCCGTAACATTTACACTTAAAACTCCAATCATAATCTGGATAAAAACTTATCAGAGGCAATGCAAAATACGGTACCCTGAAATAATTTGCATGGTTGTCTGAGGGACTAAATGCAAGTGCTTCCTCTGCCATTTTCTCTCCTTTTCTGTCTTTTTAGCTAAGTATTTCTGGAACATGTCCACGTTACCATTTTATCAGCTGAGAAGCAGCTCGCTTTTCCACACAGGAAATACCTCGGTAACATGCCATACATCCATACGATCAGACTTGGTTCTGGAGCCTAACGAGTTTTCAGTAAGATTAAATTGTTTTCCAAGAGCCCAAAAGTTCACCACATCCACCTCCTCCCATACTTAGAAATTAACGTTTATCTGATTTATAACGTTGCTCAACACTTTTGTTCAAAAACATTATAGTCACTTTGTGCATGAAAGTGTTACCTGTGCAAGAAGTCAGGAGCTTTATTTAGCAGAGTGTAGTACTGTCTCACAAACTCCCGCCCTACGAGCAGGGGACTTGGCTTCTCCATCACCATTTCTTTGGTACACAGGGTCAAATGCTGTAATTAAAAATATTCACATTAGTTTGAAGACAGCCCTGTATATCACAACTTCCCCATAAAAGGATGAGCATAATGATATGAGAATCAAAACAATTACGTGAACAGGTACTTAATTCACACAGAACTACTCCACCAATTCAGGACCCTGCCCCACCTCCTTTGAGTAAACAAAAAGATTTCATGTGTTACTTTGACAAAAAGGGAATAGTGGGAACAAAGTCCCATACAGAACAGGTGCTTAAAAAAACCACCCAAAACCCCACACCCCCTTCAAACAAGCAAAAGCCCTGTTAAAAACATCTAGCACCATTTATTTAACCCTTTGGTAATAAAATGATGAATAATTAAGACTCCAAGTTCAACAGCAATGCAAAACAAACAGGAATACACTTTCCTAATGTATCAGCCAATAACATTCCTTTATCTCAAAGCACATCTGCTTCAAAAGGCTGCCCTCATGTCTGTAACACAAAGATGGTAGGACCAATATTCCGAAGTAATTATGTGGGCTGGATTCGCATTGCCTGAAGACCGGGAAGTGAAACCTTTACACCTCAGAGATGACCAAAGCCTTAGGTGCTATTTGTCCAAGCTACCCGCATCGTACATTTGTCATAGAATAATTTAGGTTGACACAGACTTCTGGGGGTCACCCGGTTCAACCCAGGGCACAAAGCATGACCAGTTTCTAATGTGTTGCTCATTAAAACAAGTTCTGAACAAGGTTATTCGCCAACATGCAAACAGAAGTTCGTTTGCAATTTGCGGCCGTTGGCTGCCATTTTATCATGGCATGGCTTGGACAAGTATGGATCTGCACCCTCCCACCAGGTAGCTGAAGGTAGCAGTAACGTATCGTCCCCCCACTCCGGTCCTCTGTTCTTCAGGCTGGACAAGTCCTGCCCTCTCACTGCAAAGGTACGCTGCTGACTCAAGTCCAACTTTTCTGCCAGGACACTGAGACCCATTTGTGCAAAGCTGCTTTGTATCCGGCCATTTCCCTTTGCTTGCAGTTTTTCCATGCACACGCAGAACTTAATAATTGGCCTTTATCGAACCTTGGGATGTTCCTGTCAGCCCATTTCTTTGGCCTATCCCTTGCTGCAAATCACTTTAGCCCGTCATCCAGGTCACAAGAAAGGTGTTCAACAGCATTAAGCAGCATCAGTCCCAGCATTGCGCTCTGAGAAACTCTGCAAGCAGCCAGCTACCAGTTGGACCTTGTATCTCCCACCACAACCTTTTGATGCTGGCTGTCCAGACAGTTTCCCAGCCACTTAATAGGCATCTGTCCAATTTGACTCCAAGGATAGTGCAGAAAACCAAGGCCTTACTGAAATCAAGGCAAACCGCATCTCTCGCAGATTCCTCATCCGCTGAGGCATTCATGTCATCGCAGAAGGCAAGCCAGTTGGTCAGTTACAACTTTGCCCTTGGTAAATCCAGGCTGGCCGTTCCAAACACCTTCTTGTCCTTCATGGATCTGAGCACAACTCCCAGGAGGACTTGCTTTACAAGCCTTCCCAGGGATCAAGGAGAAGCCAGCCAACCTGTAATTCCCGCAGTTGCCCCTGCCTCAGACAGTTCTTAGTTGTACTCGCTATGCTCCTACCCATCCATACCGTCTCACAGATTGTTCATGTCATAAAATAACCTTCAGCACTCCAGAAGTCTGTATGGCACGCCAGCACCCGACACATTGCCTTTTCCAACTCATGTCAGGAAGGCTGAACTCGCTTCTGAACACCAGCATCTGTAATCATGAGATTCCTTCCAGTTCTCTAAAGAAAGCTTAATCTACTTTCTCTCTCAAAAAACAAATATGGTAAGCAAGGCAGCAGGCAAAGAAGACCACGTGAAAATCCCAAGTTTCCAACTTGGGACATAATTCTAGAATAAGATTTTTGTTTTCTTACCAAAATAACCTTGACCCATCAATCCAAGCCAAGGGCCAATACAGAGGACTGTTCACAACTACAGCTGGACAGGACATAAAGCACACAAGGTCACACCGAGAGATGAACCTCGAGAAGAGCCTGTACGTGAGCAGAGCACAGGAACGGTGCCACAAACTCTGAGGACAAAAGCCCAAGTACTTAGCTGAAATAGTTTATACTTTATGCACTGCCAAAATAATCTCAAGCCAGCAATCCAAGCCCCTAAACAACACCGAGAACTGTTCCCACATACAGTTAGTCAGGAGTCACACTTGAAGCAAGGCAGCAGGCAAGCTTGAAATACAAGATTTGAACTTGGACATAAGAAATCAGAAAACTTATTTCAGGACTACCCAAAGTTTTTATTGTAACCTTCCAAGACTCTAAACCAGAGTGTTGGTTGTGACTCACAGGAAGTGCCAGGGGAAGTAATTTTGATAATCAGACCCAAAACCAAACGTCGAGAACACTAAGGGACATCAAAGGCTTGAGCCCTGTGCATGTACAAAGTGGGAACCTCCAAAGAAACAAACTCTGAGCAATCTGGGGATCCTCCTAACATGACTCATACTACAGCAGTGGCACGCATGGGGGAATTTTACTTATAAATCAATCTTAAAAGAACAAGGACCTCAGTTTCTACAGGTGAGACTATTCTTTTTTTTTTGCTCCCCTGCCCCACACGCAGCTGACGAACACAAAATTGGTGGTACAATCTTCACCAAAAGCACTTGTGAGAATACACAAGGACGGAGCTTCATCACAGATTTTATTTTTTTAAAGAACCTTTCAAAAAGCAGACCCCAGCCAGCTCACATTCTTACGAATATAGCAACAAGCAAAGTACATATGCTAACAAATTGCTGGCATACCACAAGGAACACTGAAAGTGCCTCTGGGTACAAAACATAATAATCTGTGACAAGTCATTACACTACATCAGATCTGTATCACAGTAGATCTTTTCTTCATTGGAAGCTGTGCTATTTCAGGAAAGGCCGCCAAAACCTTTCAGAAAATCTGAGAAAGGCAAGTATGCAATAATCACACACAGCCAATTCTTCCCTAACACTTGAAACAGAAGTTGGTCCACATGCTCAAAGAGATGAGTACCGTCCACCTCTGCCCATATTTCAAGTGACAGCACTATTGATTTGCATCACAGACTCACAGTATTTTATAGGATGTCTCAGTACAATGCTTCACCTGTCTCAGTACTATTTCCTTCCATTATCTCTTCAGATATCTTATTAGGGGTAACAGAGGCTTAATGAACTGTTCAGGTCTCCAAGTCATTAAAAGGCAGTCAAATAAAAAAGCAGGTACCCCTTGCTACCAACATGGGTGCCATGAAACCAGGTTTTAGAAAGATTAAAATCTCCATATGTCCCAATTAGTACAGCACCTCCTTAAAGTCAAGGACCTGAGCCTTACCAGGCCCAAGGGGGTTGGAGGTAAAAGCACCAGTGAAATTTAAGCCAAAACCCAAGGCACTGACATCAACAATATAAATGGTCCAGACTTACAAGGAACAGTATCTCCATGTTTTACCAGGAACTAACGGAAGTCCCACAGATACACATACTCTGTAACAGCTATTTTTCCAGTTTTCAGCAGTACATACTCAAGAGTCAAAGAATAACAGCTAAGAACAAAGAACCTGAGCGCTCCTCTCACTTGGATAAAACAAGCCACACTCTTAGAGCAGCCTGAGCAGCCAACGGGAAAGCCTCTTAATGAGAACTTATCGCTTGAGGCACCCACATAGCTACTAGGCAGAAAAAAAATACTGAAACTGAGACGGCAAACATGAGAAATAAAACAAATTTATCTACTAGTTTCTTTATATTGCAACTGTACTGGTAAAGAACCCCCCTCCATCACGCACACTGATCGAGGCCACAAGCTACACAGACAGGTAACACCAACACCCATGCAATTGCTGCTTATCCATAGGTAATCCTGCCTACATCAAGCAGACAGCGATCAACCGACAAGATTTAATTTCCATCCTATTTAGTACTTCTTGTGCCTGTGCTACCAAGAAGGCACACAGGATTCGCAGTGTATTCTTGAACCAAGGACAACGGGCAGCCCAGCATGTATTTTGTAACAGACTCGCAAGCTGGAGGCCTAAACGACACCTGGAATCCCTTTCTTCTCCAGGCAAGAGACCCAGAGGCACCCACCCGAGGGATTAGACTCCGAAACTGAAGGAACACGCACATGCACCAGTGCAATACTTTTTGCAGCTTCAACTGGCACGACTCAAGTTCATAACGACAACAACTTCAGTCTACAGACGGGACTGGATAAGCGTGGCACTGTTACTGCAACCAACCAAATTCCTATCTTGAGGTATTTCCATGGTCACTTCTTTCGAGAAAACAAAAACAATGGGAGAGTTAGCACAGAAAGGAATTGTTTGTTATTTTCATGCAAAGATAAGCATGTGAAGAAAAGCTGAAAGTGTATTTCCCTCCAAAGAGCAACACCAAGTGCAACTGCAGGGTAGTGCTGAAATAAACAGTAACCTTCATTTAACTTTGTGACAATGTCCCAGCTACATTCTGCTAGTGTGAGGTAGGACACCATCACACGCTTTCTCAGCTCCGCAAAAAAGTTCTTTCAATGGCCCGGGATAACAAATGCCAGCCGTGACAATTAAAGCAAGAAGTTAGCCTCTGCAATGAGGTGACTCTGTTACGGGCTGAAAGGATGAGCTGTAACTTACGTTAGAACAATTGTGCTGAAGCACTTGGGAACCAACTGCTACAATAATTTCTGAGGTCCACACTGAATGAATAGCATGCAAATTCATTCAGCCTGTAATCACCTTTATACATAAAACTTTATTAAACTGTGTTTGTCACTCCTTCAACCAAATAAAAAAGCTGCCAAACCATCACCCATCAGTTACATAGGAGGGCAGCAGCAACTAGTTTCTGAACAAGTACTGAAGGCCACTATGCATTGAGTAGTCAAAATGTTCACTGGCATGCATCTTGCTCCATAAGCAGTTCTCAAATTAGAGAAGCCTTTTTTTCCTAAAAT